ATTATTACCATTATTATTATTATTATTATTATCATTATCATTATCATTATCATTATCATTATTATTATTATTATTATTATTATTTTTTTCTTTACGCAGACCTGCAATGCGATTTGATTTGCGTCGTGACGCATAGGGCTGCGTCACATAATTGCAGCTCAACCCGGAAGTAGAACGAGAGTCGCTGCTGAAAATGTTTACATTCACTTTAACGCTCGTACGACAGTAAGTGATTATTATTTTACAGGCTTTTAAATGATCCTTTACTTATATATATATCCTCAGAGGACTTTAACGAAGCGATGGTGTGAATATAATGTGAATATATTCTACAGAAACTGACAGTTTGGTTGAACTATGGCGACTGAATGTGCAGCTGCAGGGTTTGAGTGAACAGAGACAACTTCAATAACTCACCGACGATGTGCACAATGTTTATCAGTCTTATTGGGTTGCTGTTCACTTAAAACACGCATTACTTGTTTGTTATCAGCGGTAAAATAGATGGAGCCGGTGGAGCTAATTCAATGACATTGCTTTATTTCCACACAGTGGGGAAACACAGTACAACAGGGAAAAGCTGCTGCAAGGTAAAGTCTGCCTCACACTTCCTGCTCTGGTCAAACATGTTTTTATTTATACAGTCTGGTGTTTTTAGTGTTAAAAATGTGCACTGTGTCTGTGTGTTTTTTAGGACAAGGTGTGGACACAGTCCTGTCAGAAACAGGTTTTCAGCAGGGTGAGGCTGTAGGACGATACCTCAGCGACATCACATTCAACAATGTGTTTGTCAGTAACCTGCAACGAGCTGTACAGGTGAGTTAATGACATACATGAGTGTGATAGAAGCAGCTGACACCAGCGTCTGAGTTTAAGGTGCTCCTCCTGCACAGATATTGACTTAACACACTGTCAATAATCCAGATTTGTTATTATATCCGTGTACTGCTACTAATACTGTCTGTGTGGTCTGATATATCTTATTCCTCTGAGTCCAATACAACCACTATTGTCCATACACTAATAAAAAACACATTAATGAGCCACATACTTTAAAACCTTGTATATACAGAGCCTAGAGATTATATATATATGTCTTTTTCAACATGACTATTGTGCAACAGCTTAAAATAAGTGACCTTTTTAGTTAGATTTACTTTAAAGTGATTCCAGACAAATGTCCTCGCACATTTTTCCTTTAATTAACATCTTAACTCTCTTAACTCCCAAAATGAGACTAATGTCATCACGAGTTTCTGACTCTTAATTTCACTTGATTTCACAAATCACTGAAAAGTAAAACCTTTGTTCACACTGACTCAATGCAAGAGACATTCTGTTTTATTGAAATCTGTTGAAGCCATAAATGTGTTGTAGCTTCTTTATTTCCCTTCAGGAACAAATAATTCTGTCAAACCAGTAAAATGTCACTACTGTTTTCCTCCTATGACTGTGAAGGAAAAAGGGGAAAAACCGGATGCATGTGAGAGACTTCCAGATATGAAATAGTTGTGTGAACATTCATGTCTCTGTGGTCTTTGACTCATTGATGCTGACAGTGTATTAACGACTTTTTAGTTTGACCATGGCAGATTCTACTGGCACGTAAAAACATTTTGAGTCACTAATTTCCAGAATACGTTTCCTCCGTCAGACAGCTGAAATAATTCTGAGGAACAACACTCACTGTTCTGGCACGGAGATGGTTTTGGAGCCATTACTCAGAGAGAGGGTGAGCTCTATTATTACACTACTTCCAGATATTAAAGTTTTAAATGTAGTACTAAAAGAATGTCTCCCGTCTGAGCTCTGAACTGTCGTTGTGTTGTTAATTCAGGGTTTTGGCATCGCTGAAGGACGTCCCAAAGAGCATCTGAAGAACATGGCCAACGCTGCCGGCCAGTCATGCCGGGACTACACCCCTCCGGAAGGAGAGACTTTGGACCAGGTGAGTCAGACACAGATTGTACTGTTGGAAAAAGAGGAAAACAGCCACTATAAAACTCAAGGTCAACAGAATATTGCTTGTGCAACAGCGCCATGCAGTGTCTGTTGTATATATTGCATTTCAAACTCTGAAGTCAATGTAGTTTACTTTTTATATTGCTTTTATTACGGACTTTTTTAGGTAATTGGGTGGATTTTTAAAGTGTTATAGTAGTCAAAGAGATTGTTCTCAACACATAAAGAAGCATTTAATCCTTCAGTGTTTCAGAAAATGTTTAAATCACCAAAAATAGACATGCATGGTTGTCATTGGACAGTGACTACAGTGTGCCTACTTCTGGTGCTGTTCTAAATGCTGATTATTTTCTGACTAAAACGGTTGTTTTTTTTTCTATAAAATACAGTTGAAGTTAAAAAAAAACAAAGATATTTCATTCATAATGATGGAAAACAGAAAAAGAGCAGCAGATCCTCACATTGGAGAAGCTGCAACCTGAACATTTTATGCATTTTGTTTCAGAAATGACTTAAAACAATCAATTATCAGGGTGCTCACCTGGTAGAGCTGGCGCCACACGTACTAAGGCTAAGGCTTTGCTGCAGCGGCCATGGGTTCGACTCCTGCGGCCCTGTCGCTGTGTGTCGTTCCCTCTCTCTTTCTCTCTCTCTCCCCCCTTTTCTGTCACTCTGCAGCTTTTACTGTCCATTGAAGGCAATCAAAAGCCTCCCAAAACATAAATAAACATACAAACAAACAAACAAACTGTCACTTTGCTTCCAGGTGAGGTTGCGATTCAAAAAATTCCTCAAAGTCCTTTTCAAGCAAATGTCGGATGAACACGGCTGGTCCAGACCAGACGCCCCCGCAGAAGCTTCAGAAGCCGGTGGCTCTGCGAAAGGGACCGCAGCTGCTGCCTCAGACGTGGCTCTTGGGGGTTCGGCTGACGACGGTCTCCAGGGAGTTTCTGCCCACGTTCTGGTTGTGAGCCACGGCGCTTACATCCGTGTGGCCATCAAGCACCTTGTAGAGGACTTAAAGTGCTCTCTGCCTGCAGGGGTGAAGATGTCCCAGCTGTTTTCACCCTGTCCAAATACGGGCATCAGTCGGTTCATCCTCACTCTGAGCCAGTCCGAGTCCGGCCCGGTCCTCTCCGCTGCTCGCTGCGTCTTTACCAACCGGAAGGATCACCTGGAAAACCTTGCGGCTGCTGAGTAGTACAAAAGGGAAAGAAACGGGATAGAGGTTTTATGCACGGAGTATGCGTACTGTTGTGTGGACGGGAACAATCATGAACACAAAAGGGAAATATGAGGCAAAGACCTCCAAGTTACCACAGGTAACTTGAATGCAACAATGCACATGGTAATTTGTGTTTTTTCAATAATCAATAGTGTTTTAATGTGGATCAATGTATTTGTGCAGTACTGTTTTATCAAACCGTTTCATCCTCCTCCTCCTAACTGAGGGCCAGTCAGCACTCCTGTTGGGCTACTTCTTTAATATTTTATTGCCTCTTTTATCATGTTATACCAAAGTCAGAACTATTTAATGTATAATTGAACACTGTCAGTGGGTGTGGCATTTTCAAGTTGACGTGTCTCATTTTACTTGTGCAATACAACATGACAACACTGAGTCTTTAGAGTTTCATTCATACATAGATATAGATAAAAGAAAATGATACAGTTTGCACATACGACAAAATGCTGTGTATTTGTTGCTGGGTGCTACATATTCACATGTGTTTCAGGCTCCTTAGTATTCAATAGAAATAGTCAGTCAGTTTTTAATCTCCACTGAATGGCTGAGCTGTTCTGGAGTCCGTCATCAGTCCAGTCATAGATGGCCTCAATATTTCAAACCCATTCTGATCTACTTATGTTAATACTGCAAAGTACAACCCTAAAAACTGAAGGCGTCTCATTGAACATAAATGCACTTTTACTGTTCTGATATATAATATGTAACTGGAAATACGTAGGAGACTCTAGTCTCTAGATTGCTGTGTTTCATTACATTTGACATTACTTGCATACAGGGGCATGACCAGGGGGGGGGGCTGAAATCTGATTGGCCACCTCATTATTCTTACCTCTTCCACTCTGTGTTGTCTTTCAGATGCTGTAGTGGGCTCTGTTTTAAAGCTAGAGTGAAGTGATATGAAACCATGTTATGTTATGTCGGTAAGTGGGCTAAATAACGCTTTAAAGTTGGCATGGCCACTTTCAAAGGGATCCCTTGACCTCTGACCTCAAGATATCTGTATGAAAATGCATTATATGGGTACCCACGAGTCTCCCCTTTGCAGACATGTCCACTTTATGTTAACCCCATGCAGATTTGAGCATAAACCATGCAGTTTTTTTCGCACGTTTTATAAATGTGTTATTTTTGCCTTGTATCTAATGTATTAGAATATTTCTGCATACTGGGGTCCATAAACTGTTGGAATTGCATGAATTGGGAATGACTGAAAAGCTGAGACACATACTTCATGCCCCACCCCAGTCAAAAAAAAAGTCTGGAAACACCCCTGTTTGCATACATATAATGTATTGTCAATTATTTACTACTTACTGGTTGATACACGTGGAGTATTTTTGTGTCTCTAGTTATGCAGTTGTGCTGCTCATTTGACTTGTGCAATATAACATGACACTGAAACAACCCTATTTTTTTGTTGAGTGCTATTTTTAGTGTCACTTTTAATCTCACTTGCAAGACAAAAAGAGTTTTTTTGGCTATGCAACTAATCAAAGCAACAATATTTCAAAGATAAAGCGATCTATTTATGTTAATGAAACAAATATAAGACTTACCACTGACGGGTTACACACAACTTCTCTCACTTGATATAACATAATAGTGTCTCTAGATTGTTGTTTTTCACGGTATTTATACATTATTTTCTACGTTTTTTTCAACTACAAACTGCATAGATGCATATTGATAGGTGGTAGGTTTAAAGGTGCACTATGTTAGAATTATAACTTAAAACATTCCCAAATTAACTGAAATAATCAACAGCATGTGAAGAAATAACAGTTTATGTATTTTATTGCCGAGATATCTACTGAACTTAACATGCTAACCAGCTACATTCAGCCTATCCTGTCTTTTAATACCACTTTGTACCTTCAGTGAGTCACTAGTTTTATTTTTATAGTTAATATTAGCAAGATGAGACGATTGACACCACTCTGTTGTCTGTTAAGGCTGCAGCCAGCAATCGGTTAGCTTAGCTTAGCACAAATACCTGAAACAGGGGAAACATCTAACCAGGCTCTGTGTGAGGGAAACTATATCTAAATCTGCCTACCAGCTCTTCTAAAGTTTGTTTAATACATGACAAAACAAAAGTGTAAAAATGCCAAGGCACCATTTTATGGAGGGTTGAGTGTCTGACTGTACCTTGGCTGGGAGACTAGTGTTGTGTTGTTAGTGAACGATTTGTTCAAATGAACGAGTCTTTTGCGTGAACAGACTGAATCGCTTCCTGAAACAACTTCCGTTCATTTCTCAGTTCAGTTCAGCTGAGTTCTGTCAGTTGTGAGTGAACGTGCAGGGAAACACTGAGTGAGCGATGGCTGAGCCTGAAACTGTCTCGGGTCCTTTTCGTTCAGTGATTCGTACATTTGTATTCGTCCTGAGGGATTAGGCCCTTTTGGACTGAACCTCTAGTGGTGTGCACGGTGCAAGCCGTTGGAAATAATGGGTTTCAATGGTGCTGCATTGTGTCTGAAAGGGCCTATAGACAGTCGCTGAGTCACTCAAGCCCACCCCTCTCCCGTCTTCAAGTCTCGAAGCCGGAAATAGCACCAAATATGTTATTTATTTATT